CATGTCCTGCTGTCTTCATACATGTCCTGCTGTCCTCATACATGTCCTGCTGTCTTCATACATGTCCTGCTGTCTTCATACATGTCCTGCTGTCTTCATGTCCTGCTGTCCTCATACATGTCCTGCTGTCCTCATACATGTCCTGCTGTCCTCATACATGTCCTGCTGTCTTCATGACCTGCTGTCCTCATACATGTCCTGTACCAGGACAACATACAACAATTAAAAAGCGAAACAAACACAGATCACGACTCTTAACCTCCAGATTTATCTCCAGACATTATGGAAGCGAGACTCGTTAAAACGATCCTTCCTGAGTGGTTTGTGGTTTGTTTCTTGCAGCACATCAGCTGAGAGGAACTCTTCAGTAACCGATCTGTTCCTGCAGCGTCAGATTAAATTCTGTGTGTTAGTTGAAACGCTCACATTAATCCCTGTTTGCTCAACGACAGTGAAGCCAGAAGGTTTTATCTGTGGATGACTGAGCAGACGTGCTGGTATGTGGAGAGAAATCCCCAGACCCTCAGGAATAAAAGGACAACCTCTGGCTTCCATCTGACAATAGAAAGGTCTCACTTCAGCCGTTTACACACCTGCACTCCTTCTGGAATGGTACAGGTGGAACAACAGAACATAAAAGTTTGAGGAACTTTGTTTTGGACATTCCAGGGAATTTTTCTCAACTGGGAGGGACTGGAACCTATCAGAGGAGAAGGTGATCGCATTGGTGAGGGTCCAGTAGTTCCGATATTCACAAACGAGGAGGTCCCAGAAAGGTTGCACAGATTGGCGGGCAGTTGGTGGAAGGCAAGGAACAGCTGGAGGAATCATAAGGTGCTTTAACGATGAAACCAGGGAGGTCCAAGGCACAGGAGGAACACAGGATTCAGTAATGAAACACGTGAGAAGAAGGTTCAGTCTTTACAATGTGGCCACGAACACAACTACCGGTGGCAGACAACGCACCAGCGTTGGACTGAAGTCATCAACTGCCATTTATACTCCTGCAGCTCATCATGATAATGGTCCAGGTGTGAGCCTGTTGGCACATCTGGTGTCGAAGAGCTGTAGAGCAAAACTGGAACTCTTACTGTGGAAGTGGATCATGGCAGGAACAAAGGAGGTTTCTGAGGAGCTCAGAAAAAGACTAAAGGTTATCTGTAAATAGTTTGAACTCCACCAAGTGGAGGAACATCAAGAGCATTGTTCCTTCCCCAGGAGTGGTGGACCAACAAAGATCACTCCAAGAGCAAGGTGTGGAATAACCAGCGAGGTCACAAAGGAGCCCAGGGTAACTTCTCACACACCGACTAATGTTCATGTTCATGAACATCAGGAGAACTCTGAACAACAATGGTTCATGGCAGGGTTGAAGGAGGAAGACACTGCTCTCCAAAGAGAACATGGCTGCTCGTCTGCAGTTTGCTGAAGATCACGTGGACGAGCCAGAAGACTGTTGGAAGAATGTTTTGTGGACGGATGAGACCAAAATAGAACTTTATGGTTTAACTGAAAAGAAGTTCTGTTAGGAGAAACGAAAACAGCATTCCTGAAGAAGAACCTTATCCCATCTGTGAAACATGGTGGTGGTAGCATCATGGTCTGGGCCTGTTTTGCTGCATCTGAACCAGGACGACTCGCCATCATTGATGGAACAATGAATTCTGAATTATATCAGATAATTCTGAAGGAAAATGTCAGAACATGTGTCCATGAACTGAATCTGAAGAGAAGGTGTGTCATGCAGCGGCACAACGATCCTCAGCACACGAGTGGTTCTGCTTCAAGAAGAATAAAGCTCATGTTTTGGAACGGCCAAGTCAAAGTCCTGACCTTAATCCAATCCAGATGTTGTGGAAGGACCTGAAGTGAGCGGTTAATGTGAGGAAACCACCAACATCCAGAGCTGAAGCTGCTCTGGGCTAAAATTCCTCCAGTAGTATGTTAGTCTCATTTCTTTAACTGGGTTCTCTTCATTTACTTTTAGGACTTGTGAGAAAACCTGATGATGGTTTAGTTCATATTTCTGCAGAAATACAAACAATTCTAACGGCTTCACAAACTTTCCAGCACCACTTTATGTTCAAGTTGTAATTCAGATCATTTTGACCCAAAGGCAGCAGGAGGGTATTTCCTGCTCTACTAGATATTTGATGGTTCATGCATTTTATTGATTTCATCCAAATTTTAAATAGAATGAAGCAAAATAGTTATTCTCAGCTACACAGGGGCATGAAGGACCTAAAAGGCTGTGAGAGTTTAACGACCTTAATACACATAAAATGAAGTTAGTGCTCGTTGTGGCTGCTGATATTATTGTTTCTAATAATTTCTTAGATATGAGCTCCGCGCTGAAGAGAAATCCAATAAATAAGCATCTAGACACATGTAATATTCACAAGCAGCTCAGTTTACTGTTGCGTTATGCCTTTTCATTAAATCTGTGGGAATAACTCAAAGCAGAAACCCAAACAGATTTCCTTCTTCTGCTCTGCACTGGTTCAAGTTGTCTCGATGACGCCGACTGTAGCGTTCAGTAGACTCGTGAAACAAAAGGTCCAGCCCCTGAAAGGCCCAGTGTCAAGGATTACTCCTCTCGCAAATACGCCACCAACAAAGCCTCCATTGTGTCCCACCAGGCCCTCAAATTAGCAGCGGGAGCCAAAGCACGCTTAACTGAGCTTGACTGGGCTACCACGCTTTTAATTTAGGCTTTGAATCCCAGGAGAAATCAGGGAATATTTGAGATTTAAAGTAAAATAAAAACTAAATCCACTTGATCTCTCTTAGGAGATACGATGGAGTACTATAAATATAAATGAAAGTGTCTTTAATCCTGTTCAATGAAGGCCTGAAAGTGAAGATGGAGCAGAAAAGGGTCGCTGCAGGTTTTTATTTATGGAATAATTGGCTTGATTTATGATTAAAGCAGCTGCTTTAAGTGTTTTTCTCACATTATAACAAGTTAAATTTTAAATTTTAATGAGATTTTGGCTGTTTTTAAATGAGCTTCCATGTAAACTCCCATGACAAGTGAGTTTAACAGTTAGCATCAAGTCAATGAAGGTGAAGAATACTGTTTCCTGTTTTGTTTTTCAAAATAAAACTCAAATGTTCAGGAAAGGGGAAAAAAATTGGTTGTAAAAATTCTGCAAGACAGAGATAACCATCACAAAATTCTTTATTTAACAAATAAAAATAAATAAAAACCTACATAAAAACATACTGAACAATTTAGAAAACTTAAAGAAACTATGACAAAAACAGAAATCACAAGTTCAAAAAATTTTTACAATCCTTAAACATTTTATCATCTTTATTAGCTTTATAGGTAATTATTAATTTAACAAGGTACAAACATGAGCATGGCAATTGACAATCCTGAATTCATGCATATAAATAATTAAATAAAAACTGTTTTAAAATCTTTTATTTTACTGCACTGGCTTCACTTTTAATCCAGTTTATTATTAGTTTAGCAATAAATTGATTATCCTATAACTCATTTATTGAACAAACTGTTAGATTATTTAGAAATAACTTGAATAAATTTAATTAAAACAACACATTAGGCTTAAAAAATCTGTTTAAGGGTACGTAATGAAAAGCAGCAAGCTATCAAGCAGCCATTTTGGCACCAATACATAATTCAGCCTGGTACTTATGGGTTTGTGTCTGGTACTGAGTATCTATGGGGACAATGCTTTATTATGATGTGACTTTTTACTGTGTACTTAAACCTGTGAGGTACTTACTGTATGTTAAGTGGGAACCTGGTTCTCTTATGAAGTACTTGTTACATCTACCTGTATTATTGGGGGATGTGCCTGATACATACTGAGTATGTATTTCATACTCAGAGTTTGTATTTGGTACATGAATCAGGTTGTATTTTGAAGTAACTTGTGACTTGTTGTACATGTCTTGTATTTACGTTTGCATGTGGTACCTGCAGGTATGTACCAGGTAGGAGGACTAGGTTGTATTTTGAAGTGTCTTGTTATACATACATTTACCAAGCATGTGCCTGTTACCTAAAAGATATGTATCTGATATAGGGACTTGGTGGTATTTTGAAGCTACCTGTTTCACATAACTTGTACTTAACACCTGCTTGACTGGTACATAGAATAAATGTACCTGGTAAGGGGAGAAGATTGTCTTTTGAAGCGAGGTGTTGGACGTACCTTGTGTTTAACTGGTACATGACTGGTGCCTACAGCTTATCTACCTAGTATGGGGATTATGCTCTATCACAAAGCAACTTGTACCAAGTTTGTATGGTACCTGCCTGATACCTACAGAGTATGTACCTGGTATGGGGACTAGACTGTATTTAAAAGTGACTTGGAACTTGTATGTACCTTGTATTTTGGGGGTACATGGTATATATCTGGCTCTTTTTGTAAACATATACCCTGTATATGTTTACAGTGAATAAAGGGTATGTACCTGGTACTCGTTATGTACTTATTACTCATGGGCTATGTACCCAGTGCATACTCTGTATTTATGAGGGTATGTATTTACCAGGTACAGTTTGGTACCTACAGGGTACGAACTTATTTGTCTCATATTTGTTTCTTATGGAGTATAACAGGTAGTATTATGTATCACTAACATTTCCATATAAGAGAATGAAAGAGAAAATGAATCATGCCCTTATGTTTTTAAACTAAAATAAATTTATGGATTTGGATTTGAACAAGCTAAAAACAGCTCGCTCATTGCTTTATAAGCGGATAAACACATTCCCAGCCCAAATTTGAGAGTTCATATTTGATTAAAAAAAAAAAAAAAATTCTTTAAACCACAACTGGTAGAAAAAGTACAAAAACTTTGAGTGGAACTTGTCTTTTATTTTGAAAGCAGTGTAAGTCGACTTCCTGTGCTAACTTCCGCTAGCTTGATGCGACTTTCCCAGCTTTCTCAGGGAGTTCGGCGGTGGGAGGAGGAAGAGGAGAAGCCTTCCTCCTGATACTCCGGGTGGTTCCGACCCACAGAAAGTAGAACCGGCTGGATGTGGACGGATACCGGAGCGGCTCCTACCTGCTCGCGCCGTCCGGTGATTAAACACACCTGCGCGCGCGCTTCGGTTCTTTGGAACGGCGAAGGAATCTCCGCGTGAGTTTTTAACGGTTGTCTTCTTTCCCGGGGAGGGAAAATGTTGAAGTAAAACTTGAGAAGTTCGGTCCGAACCGAGCCCAACGACCAGGATGTGATTCGGGAGGAAGCGGGGACCCAGAGGAGCAGCTCACCGTTTTTTAATCCGTTTTTGTGGGAAATATCGTGAAAAAGTGCACGTTTGTCCTCGGAGGAGCAGCGCGAGACTTCGAGGTGCGTTCAGGTTCAACTCTTTTTTACCTCCTCTGTCTGTCAGCTGTTTTATGTAACGTTCACAGTCTGACCCCCCAAGGAAGAATTTCTCTTTCATCTTTTTCTGTTAAAGTGTTTTGAAGCTGAACATCTGGAACATCAGTTTGTCTTTATGAAGATTTGATGACGTTCTCCCAGTGTTTACTCCATACCTGCACACAACTGCCCCCCAGAAGCTGTTAGGGTGGGGGGGCTGTTGGGAACATGTGGCTGAGAGATCCAGATGTTTACCGACTCTAAACTGCCACTTGTGCAGAACGAGCTCCAAAGGTTATTCAAACACAACAAAACGTTTGGAAGCAAATATTTGAGTTTTTGTTCCTGAAGCTCTAAAACCTGCAGGAAGTCCAGAGTTCTGGTCCAGCTGGGCTCAGGTGACCCGTGGACTTTCCAAGACCTCTTCTTCTTGTAAGTTCCACAGGGCTCTTTGTTTGGAAACTTATAGTTTTCATGCAAAAAAAAAAAAAAAAAAAAAAAAAAAAGAATCTTTGGAGACAAACGCGTTCACATTAATTTTTCAGTTTTTTTTTTAAATCATGTTTTGCTGATTAAGCACTTCTGTAAACCTCAGAGTTTTCTCAGAAGCCAGACTTCCAGGGACATCAACATGTAAAGAGTTATTTATCTATTTACGAACTTATTTATTTATTGAGCACATTGATCGTGTTTCATCAGACAGGACCTGTTTTCAGTTCAATTCACAAATACTTTATTAATCCTGGAGGGAAATTAAATAAAAAATAGAATAAATTTGGTCGAGTTATTCGTCATAATTGGGACATTTTGTTATGGTTCAGCTTCTTTATGCAAATTTAAAAGGAATTCAGCTATTTTAAGCAAATTTCAGCTGTTCTTGTTCAGATTATTTATGAAACTACATTTTGTGCGTTTTCTAACCTCTTGCTGCTAATTTCAGCTTATTTCTGCAAGTTTCAGCCTTTTCGACTATTTCAGCTACCATTTAGCTGATTCTATGACAATTTAAGCCTTTTCAGCTAATTACAAATTTTTTGCTATCATTTCATTTTTCAGCCTAATTCAGCAAAAAATGTGCTCTCTCGACATCCTTCTTGTAATTTCAGCTTTTCTACATTTTAGCTACTTTTCAATAGTTTTTTGCTAATTTCAGCTGTTTTCAGATAATTTCCACTTTTTTGTGCCAATTTCTACTTCAGCAAACGTGTTCTTTCTGCTTTCTTCTGCTAATTTAAGCTTGTTCTAACTTTTTAGCTACCTGTTTAGTTTTTTTTTAGCTAATTTCAGCTGTTTTCAGATAAATACAAGTTTTTCTTGGTAATTTCTGCTACTTTCAGCTTAGTTAGCTTTTTTCTGCTAGTTTCAGCTTTATCTGCTATTCCAGCTGCTATTTAGCTGTTTTTATGCAAGCATGTTTCAGTTATTGGTTAACTTCGTTATGATCCAACAGTTTTCAGTCAGGTCATCTGGACTGTATGGATTATATACCTGGATTATTGAGCATGGACTTTTTGGTTTTGAACCAGTTTGACACGACTGTCAAGGAGGAAGAGGGCCGGCATCGGAGGAGGGGGCGTTCCAAAGACACCATCTTAGCACCAACATAACTGGTTTGTTCCTCTTTGGAGTAAGCTGTTTGGGGGAAGAATCAGTTTTGTGTTGTGTTTCCTTGACTGATGAAGCCTTCTGGATGGAAGGTGAAACGTTTCAGCAAAAAAAGAAGCGGTCCAGAAGACCTGACTGAAAATCGTTGGGTTCAGGTTTTATAGTTTTATTTTCCTCCAACTAGCAAAACAAATGTTATGGATGAACTTTAAACCGTTTAACGCCGTCGTTTGTTCACGCTGTTGGTGATGTAATGTCTGCAGTGAGCCACAGACTTACATGGACTTTACCTGTGTTGATGTCGCCCGCTGCCATGGCAACAGGGCGATAATGTAACTCTAACTGTTTATGAAGCATTCACTCTGTTGTGATCCGTTTTTCTTACGTACGTTTTTCTGTCCGATTCTCGTCCCGTAGATTTTGTTCTGTTTCAACAAATCGTAAATCAAAATGTTCAGCTCTTTCAGGACAAGCCTGCTGGTATTGGTGCAACTTTAGCTGTTTGAAATATTTAGCCTTTTCTGCCATTTTTTATCTCAAAGAAAATGAACTGAGCTCATTTTCCATCCTTCAAATCTTTAGATGTGTTTACAACCTTTTACTGCTCCTTTCACATTTTGTTCTGCTTCGGCTTCCTTCTGCAAATGTAAACATTCTTTCAGCTACTTTCAGCTATTTTCAGCTGTTTTGTTCCCTTCCATATTCTTTCTGCCGACTACATATTTGTTCTAACTTCTTTCTGCTAATTTCAGCGTGTTCAGCTTCTTTCAGCTTATTTCGGCAAGTTTCAGCTTTTTCTACTATTTCAGCCACTATTTAGCTGTTTTTATAATTTGAGCTTTTTCAGCTAATTCCACGTTGTTTGCACTCATTTAAACTTTTTTCAGCCTAATTCAGCACAATGTGCTCTCTCCACTTCCTTGTAATTTCAACTTTGTTTTATTTAGCTACTTTTCAGCCGTTTTTTTGTTGTTGCTATATTCAGCTTTTTTCCCCACTAATTTCTACTTTTTGTGCTCAGTTCTGCTTCTTTCAGCTAATTGGGCAGACATGTTGTTTCTGCTTTTTTTCCAGCTAATTTAAGCTTGTTCTACCTTTTCAGCTACTTTTTAGGATTTTTTAGCTAATTTCAGCTCTTTTTAGATCAGTTTTTCTTGGTAATTTCTGCTATTTTCAGCCCAATTAATTTCTTTCTGCTAATTTCAGCTTATGCTCCTTTCAGCTTTTTTTCAGCTAGTTTAAAAAAAATGTTTTTTCAGCTACTATTTATCTGTTTTATGCCAATTTTAGCTTTTTAAGCTAATTCCACATTTTTGGAGCTCATTTGAACTCCTTCCTTTTCGTAGGTTAAGCTTCGTTCTGCCTTTTCGGATACTTTTTAGATGCTTTTTGCTAATTTTTAGCTAATTTCCTGATATTTGTGTTCATTTCTGCTTATTTAAACCTAATTCTGCAAATACGTGTTCTTTATGCTTCTGCTAATTTAGGCTTATTTTCCATTTCAGCTACATTTCAGCAAGTTTTAGCTAATTTCAGATGTTTTTCAGCAAGTTCTTCTGCAATAAGCATTCACTCTGCTTTTTCACAGGAAATGCAGTTCCTCTAGTTTGTATGTAGCCACCAGTCTGGCTGAATATCTAATGAACCATTTAAAAATAATTTAGCGTCAATTTACCAGCATTATTTTCTGATTTCATGTATTTATTATTAACGAGTGGGGAAAAAAAGTAGAAAAAAATTAGGATTATTGTGTAAAATGTGAACTTTTGTTGCATCACACACGACCAAAAAAGAGCTGGAGATACGTGAGCGTTGTCCTAATTATACAAACTGTTTACTTAAACGTTCACATGATTTAAAATAAAACTATACAACTGGACTTATTGTTTGAGTTTTTCCAAAGATGTTGTAAAATGTAGTGGAAATATTAATTTAACGTTGATAAAAACTGCTAAGCAGGGCTTTAAAATTCAGCCAACTTTATGTATTTGTGCATAAAGTTGTTATATTTTCCATGTTTCTTCACGTTGTTGATTCTTTCGGGCTGTTGAGCTCCACATGAAGCAGAGTTGTAGCTGTTTTAGAGCGATAAAGAAACTCCGGCCTCGACAGATTTTGTTAACGACGTTCAGAACGAGGCACTGGTGGAGGAACGTCTCCAACAGTCTCCAGGTTTAATGTTCGTTACGGGCCCAGTTCTGTCCAACCAGTTTGAGTGGAATGCTGCTGGTCGACTCACGTCTGCACACTGGAAGTTTGCTGCGTGAGCTCTTTGATGAAATGTCCCTGATGTCTGACGGGCAGCGGGCACGTCTCATTGGCTGATGAGTCATGAAGCAACGTCATGTGACTATGATGCAACATTACTTCCTGTTTTCTAATGAAAATGATAAAATTAGTTATTTTTATTACTCATATTACATTGTGCAAAACAAAACTTGTTTGAAATTATTTTTAAATCTTCATCCTGCATGAAATGGAAAATATTCTATGGAGTTTTAAAGTTTTATTTGGAGCAGGATCTGGGTGTAGGTGTCCCTGGTCTCTGATCCTGTTTGTGGTCTTCGTGGACTCATGGTCAGCTCTGCTGTATGCAGATGATGCGACTCTCGTATGCAGACGACGCGACTCTCGTATGCAGATGATGCGACTCTCGTATGCAGATGACGCGACTCTCGTATGCAGATGACGCG